ACCACCACCCCATACATCACATTGATACCTACCATCTGCTCCTCCCAGTCAAACTCCCATCCACACTAACAACTCCCATCCACACTAACAGAACCTAGTCTACCTTACCACCACCCCATACATCACATTGATACCTATCATCTGCTCCTCCCAGTCTAACTCCCATCCACACTAACAGAACCTAGTCTACCTTACCACCACCCCATACATCACATTGATACCTACCATCTGCTCCTCCCAGTCTAACTCCTCCACACTAACAGAACCTAGTCTACCTTACCACCACCCCATACATCACATTGATACCTACCATCTGCTCCTCCCAGTCAAACTCCCATCCACACTAACAGAACATAGTCTACCTTACCACCACCCCATACATCACATTGATACCTACCATCTGCTCCTCCCAGTCTAACTCCCATCCACACTAACAGAACCTAGTCTACCTTACCACCACCCCATACATCACATTGATACCTATCATCTGCTCCTCCCAGTCAAACTCCCATCCACACTAACAGAACCTAGTCTACCTTACCACCACCCCATACATCACATTGATACCTACCATCTGCTCCTCCCAGTCAAACTGCCATCCACACTAACAACTCCCATCCACACTAACAGTACCTAGTCTACCTTACCACCACCCCATACATCACATTGATACCTACCATCTGCTCCTCCTAGTCAAACTCCCGTCCACACTAACAGAACCTAGTCTACCTTACCACCACCCCATACATCACATTGATACCTACCATCTGCTCCTCCCAGTCTAACTCCCGTCCACACTAACAGAACCTAGTCTACCTTACCACCACCCCATACATCACATTGATACCTACCATCTGCTCCTCCCAGTCAAACTCCCATCCACACTAACAACTCCCATCCACACTAACAGAACCTAGTCTACCTTACCACCACCCCATACATCACATTGATACCTACCATATGCTCCTCCCAGTCTAACTCCCATCCACACTAACAACTCCCATCCACACTAACTGAACCTAGTCTACCTTACCACCACCCCATACATCACATTGATACCTACCATCTGCTCCTCCCAGTCTAACTCCCATCCACACTAACAACTCCCATCCACACTAACAGAACCTAGTCTACCTTACCACCACCCCATACATCACATTGATACCTACCATCTGCTCCTCCCAGTCTAACTCCCGTCCACACTAACAACTCCCATCCACACTAACAGAACCTAGTCTACCTTACCACCACCCCATACATCACATTGATACCTACCATCTGCTCCTCCCAGTCTAACTCCCATCCACACTAACAGAACCTAGTCTACCTTACCACCACCCCATACATCACATTGATACCTACCATCTGCTCCTCCCAGTCTAACTCCCATCCACACTAACAGAACCTAGTCTACCTTACCACCACCCCATACATCACATTGATACCTACCATCTGCTCCTCCCAGTCTAACTCCCGTCCACACTTACAACTCCCATCCACACTAACAGAACCTAGTCTACCTTACCACCACCCCATACATCACATTGATACCTACCATCTGCTCCTCCCAGTCTAACTCCCATCCACACTAACAACTCCCATCCACACTAACTGAACCTAGTCTACCTTACCACCACCCCATACATCACATTGATACCTACCATCTGCTCCTCCAAGTCTAACTCCCATCCACACTAACAACTCCCATCCACACTAACAGAACCTAGTCTACCTTACCACCACCCCATACATCACATTGATACCTACCATCTGCTCCTCCCACTCTAACTCCCGTCCACACTAACAGAACCTAGTCTACCTTACCACCACCCCATACATCACATTGATACCTACCATCTGCTCCTCCCAGTCTAACTCCCATCCACACTAACAACTCCCATCCACACTAACAGAACCTAGTCTACCTTACCACCACCCCATACATCACATTGATACCTACCATCTGCTCCTCCCACTCTAACTCCCGTCCACACTAACAGAACCTAGTCTACCTTACCACCACCCAATACATCACATTCATACCTACCATCTGTTCCTCCCAGTCTAACTCCTCCACACTAACAGAACCTAGTCTACCTTACCACCACCCCATACATCACATTGATACCTACCATCTGCTCCTCCCAGTCTAACTCCCGTCCACACTAACAACTCCCATCCACACTAACAGAACCTAGTCTACCTTACCACCACCCCATACATCACATTGATACCTACCATCTGCTCCTCCCAGTCAAACTCCCATCCACACTAACAACTCCCATCCACACTAACAGAACCTAGTCTACCTTACCACCACCCCATACATCACATTGATACCTACCATCTGCTCCTCCCACTCTAACTCCCGTCCACACTAACAGAACCTAGTCTACCTTACCACCACCCCATACATCACATTGATACCTACCATCTGCTCCTCCCAGTCTAACTCCCATCCACACTAACAGAACCTAGTCTACCTTACCACCACCCCATACATCACATTGATACCTACCATCTGCTCCTCCCAGTCAAACTCCCATCCACACTAACAGAACCTAGTCTACCTTACCACCACCCCATACATCACATTGATACCTACCATCTGCTCCTCCCAGTCTAACTCCCGTCCACACTAACAACTCCCATCCACACTAACAGAACCTAGTCTACCTTACCACCACCCCATACATCACATTGATACCTACCATATGCTCCTCCCAGTCTAACTCCCATCCACACTAACAACTCCCATCCACACTAACTGAACCTAGTCTACCTTACCACCACCCCATACATCACATTGATACCTACCATCTGCTCCTCCAAGTCTAACTCCCATCCACACTAACAACTCCCATCCACACTAACAGAACCTAGTCTACCTTACCACCACCCCATACATCACATTGATACCTACCATCTGCTCCTCCCACTCTAACTCCCGTCCACACTAACAGAACCTAGTCTACCTTACCACCACCCCATACATCACATTGATACCTACCATCTGCTCCTCCCAGTCTAACTCCCATCCACACTAACAACTCCCATCCACACTAACAGAACCTAGTCTACCTTACCACCACCCCATACATCACATTGATACCTACCATCTGCTCCTCCCACTCTAACTCCCGTCCACACTAACAGAACCTAGTCTACCTTACCACCACCCAATACATCACATTCATACCTACCATCTGTTCCTCCCAGTCTAACTCCTCCACACTAACAGAACCTAGTCTACCTTACCACCACCCCATACATCACATTGATACCTACCATCTGCTCCTCCCAGTCTAACTCCCGTCCACACTAACAACTCCCATCCACACTAACAGAACCTAGTCTACCTTACCACCACCCCATACATCACATTGATACCTACCATCTGCTCCTCCCAGTCAAACTCCCATCCACACTAACAACTCCCATCCACACTAACAGAACCTAGTCTACCTTACCACCACCCCATACATCACATTGATACCTACCATCTGCTCCTCCCACTCTAACTCCCGTCCACACTAACAGAACCTAGTCTACCTTACCACCACCCCATACATCACATTGATACCTACCATCTGCTCCTCCCAGTCTAACTCCCATCCACACTAACAACTCCCATCCACACTAACAGAACCTAGTCTACCTTACCACCACCCCATACATCACATTGATACCTACCATCTGCTCCTCCCACTCTAACTCCCGTCCACACTAACAGAACCTAGTCTACCTTACCACCACCCCATACATCACATTCATACCTACCATCTGCTCCTCCCAGTCTAACTCCCGTCCACACTAACAACTCCCATCCACACTAACAGAACCTAGTCTACCTTACCACCACCCCATACATCACATTGATACCTACCATCTGCTCCTCCCAGTCAAACTCCCATCCACACTAACAACTCCCATCCACACTAACAGAACCTAGTCTACCTTACCACCACCCCATACATCACATTGATACCTACCATCTGCTCCTCCCAGTCAAACTCCCATCCACACTAACAACTCCCATCCACACTAACAGAACCTAGTCTACCTTACCACCACCCCATACATCACATTGATACCTACCATATGCTCCTCCCAGTCTAACTCCCATCCACACTAACAACTCCCATCCACACTAACTGAACCTAGTCTACCTTACCACCACCCCATACATCACATTGATACCTACCATCTGCTCCTCCCAGTCTAACTCCCATCCACACTAACAACTCCCATCCACACTAACAGAACCTAGTCTACCTTACCACCACCCAATACATCACATTGATACCTACCATCTGCTCCTCCCAGTCTAACTCCCATCCACACTAACAGAACCTAGTCTACCTTACCACCACCCAATACATCACATTGATACCTACCATCTGCTCCTCCCAGTCAAACTCCCATCCACACTAACAGAACCTAGTCTACCTTACCACCACCCCATACATCACATTGATACCTACCATCTGCTCCTCCCAGTCTAACTCCCGTCCACACTAACAACTCCCATCCACACTAACAGAACCTAGTCTACCTTACCACCACCCCATACATCACATTGATACCTACCATCTGCTCCTCCCAGTCTAACTCCCATCCACACTAACAGAACCTAGTCTACCTTACCACCACCCCATACATCACATTGATACCTACCATCTGCTCCTCCCTGTCTAACTCCTCCACACTAACAGAACCTAGTCTACCTTACCACCACCCCATACATCACATTGATACCTACCATCTGCTCCTCCCAGTCTAACTCCCATCCACACTAACAACTCCCATCCACACTAACAGAACCTAGTCTACCTTACCACCACCCCATACATCACATTGATACCTACCATCTGCTCCTCCCAGTCTAACTCCCGTCCACACTAACAACTCCCATCCACACTAACAGAACCTAGTCTACCTTACCACCACCCCATACATCACATTGATACCTACCATCTGCTCCTCCCAGTCTAACTCACCTCCTCACTGCTACCAGACTGGGGCAGTGCACAGCCATACACTTTCAAACTTGGAGCTGGGGAGGCAAGACATGCTATTACTGTCAGCAAAATATAGCTATGTGATTGGGAAATCATATGATAAAATTGGAAACTGATAACTGTAAAGTTATAGAGTTTTGGAAAATTCAAAATAAATTTAAGGTGTTTTGTGATCTTTTTGGAATAAGTGTTCTTAATCGTTTGTTTCTTGCATGAAATCATATGACTCACACTCAGTATTTGTGGACTTGAAATGTACCTCCAAAAAAAGTTCCATGCAAAGGTTTGCACATTTATACTCAATATAATTACTTAACATACTCAACTACATATCACAACTCTGTGTGTGACTATAGTGAATCAATCAGTGAAGATAAAGAGCATACTTAGACTGGTTTTGGTCAAATATACAGAATAGATGCAGAAAAATGTATATATTACATCCCAAAGGACACACAATAATATTCATTGTACCAAATTTTGAAATACAAAGTTCCTCTAAATATAATAATTATTAAATCTTACAGGACAGTACACTTCATCCTTTCATTACTTTATAGGACTCTCCTATGTCCTGTAAGGACCCTCATATGTCCTGTAAGGACCATCACATGTCCTGTAAGGACCCTCACATGTCCTGTTAGGACCCTCACTTGTCCTGTAAGGACCATCACATGTCCTGTAAGGACCGTCATATGACCTGTAATGACCCTCATATGTCCTGTACGGACCATCACATGTCCTGTTAGGACCGTCACATATCCTGTAAGGACCCTCATATGTCCAGTAAGGACCCTCATATGTCCTGTAAGAACCCTCACATGTCCTGTTAGGACCGTCATATGTCCTGTAAGAACCCTCACATGTCCTGTAATGACCCTCATATTTCCTGTAAGAACCCTCACATGTCCTGTAAGGACCCTTATATGTCCTGTTAGGACCCTCATATGTCCAAAAGCCCCTAACATGTCCTGTAAGGACCCTCACATGTCCTGTAAGGACCATCAAATGTCCTGTTAGGACCGTCAAATGTCCTGTAAGGACCATCACATGTCCTGTAAAGACCTTCACATGTCCTGTAAGGACCGTCATATGACCTGTAATGACCCTCATATTTCCTGTAAGGACCCTCACATGGCCTGTACGGACCATCACATGTCCTGTTAGGACCGTCACATATCCTGTAAGGACTCTCATATGTCCAGTAAGGACCCTCACATGTCCTGTTAGGACCGTCATATGTCCTGTAAGAACCCTCATATTTCCTGTAAGAACACTCACATGTCCTGTAAAGACCCTCACATGTCCTGTAAGGCCCCTCACATATCCTGTCAGGACCCTTACATGCCCTGTAAGGACCCTCACATGTCCTGTAAGGACCCTTATATGTCCTGTAAGGACCCTCATATTTCCTGTAAGGACCCTCATATGTCCTGGAAGGACCCTTATGTTTCCTGTAAGGACCCTCATATTGCCTGTAAGAACCCTCATATTATTATGTAAGGACCCTAACATGTCCTGTTAGGAACCTCACTTGTCCTGTAAGGACCCTCACATGTCCTGTAAGGACCCTCACATGTCCTGTTAGGACCCTCACATGTCCTGTAAGGCCCCTCACATATCCTGTAAGGACCCTCACATGTCCTGTAAGGCCCCTCACATATCCTGTAAGGACCCTCACATATCCTGTAAGGACCCTCACATGTCCTGTAAGGACCCTCACATGTCCTGAAGAACCCTCATATTTCCTGTAAGGACCCTAACATGTCCTGTTAGGAACCTCACTTGTAAGGACCCTCATATGTCCTGTAAGGACCATCACATGTCCTGTTAGGAACCTCACATGTCCTGTAAGGACCCTCATATTTCCTGTAAGGACCCTTACATATCCTGTAAGGACCCTCACATGTCCTGTAAGGACCCTCACATGTCCTGTAAGAACCCTCATATTTCCTGTAAGGACCCTAACATGTCCTGTTAGGAACCTCATTTGTCTTGTAAGTACCCTCACATGTCCTTTTAGGAACCTCACATGTCCTGTTAGGAACCTCACATGTCCTGTAAGGACCCTCACGTCCTGTCAGGACCCTCACATGCCCTGTAAGGACCCTCACATGTCCTGTAAGGACCCTTATATGTCCTATAAGGACCTTCATATTTCCTGTAAGGACCCTCATATGTCCTGGAAGGACCCTTATATTTCCTGTAAGGACCCTCATATTGCCTGTAGACCGTTGAAATTAGTAGTTGGGGTACCCCTGGACCCATAGTTTTGTAGATAAAGGTAAAACCCTGGTCCAAAAAAGTTTATTTTCATGAAAAAGTAAATGATTTTGACATACATGTTGTACTTATAATCTCTGTGACCACAAACCAAAACAAAGTGTGATGTAAAAGCGTGGGTAACACAAAAATTCTACCATGAATTTGAAATTTACTCGATTCTGATTGGTCAATCAGAGGCTATTAAATCACAAAAAAAACCCTCTGATTGAAACAGCTGGTTTTATGGCTGCATCACCGCGGAAGCTAATATTCATAGAATAGTACTATTTTCAGTCATTGTCGGTAGGCATATTTAAATAATTATATCTACAATTACAGGACACAAAAAGCACAGATGCAGTTACTACAATATTCAAAGGATGTGTGGCAATACATTATGTGCAGAAAACAGGATAGAAGGGAATGTATTTACGTTTTGGAGACAACAGAGAGCTTGGAATCTTGGCGCTTTTCTATATACGACTGTGACGTCATATCTTTTGCATCACAATGAGCGATATGACGTCATAATGTTGACGCGTGATGTAGAGCGAAAACCTTGCAAAACTTGCAAACCTTTGCCCACCTCATGTTAGCTTACCAAGTTGCCGTGCTTCTATGCTTTCAATGCCTGTCATGTGTTCGAGTGAAGTATTACGGTGTAAACAAACATTTGAAACCTCACGCTACGTGTTCGGTTACAAATTCAATTTAGCGGGGTTAAATCTACCGGTAACCTAGCTCTACATTGAAAACACAGTATGTTTATCTCCTAATTATCACATACCTCACAAAGCATAACTTACTATAATCATGATTATTTCAGAGACAACAAACTGATACTCAACTGAATTTTTTTCAAGAGAAAGTATACTTTATTGAGCTTGAGATTTAATATAAGGTTATTATATCTTTTATCTTGGCTCTTTTGTCATTTTGTAACAAGAGTTGAATCAATAAAACCTCATCCACTTACTAAGTCTAGCATTTATTAAATTATAGCACTGCTGACTATATTATATCATCAATTGATATAAGACAATGTTCTTGTAACTTGGTTTAAAGGTTTGACAACTTCCACTTCTGAAAAATATTATTGAGATTTGTGCCCAAACTGAGATTTTCACCTATGTACCATCACATCCTCCTACAATAACCCTTGTTGAGTTATCACTAACATGTCAATACATGTCATTGAGTGAATGACTTATAGAGTGAACTTTACCTTCACTATTAGTAGAGCTTCTAGTGATGTGTAATGTATCAACAGAAACATAGCATCTGCCACTCATTTACAACAAATCACTGTCACCTACTACTGTTATCATAAGAGAGTCATCAATTGTCATACGTAAGTATTCAAATCTTACAACCAGTATGTGCATAAGAATATAAAATATCTGCAGGAAAATACTCTGTAAATGACCTTCACCATGACCTTGACCTTACACATAGGTGACCACAAGCTTTTATGATCTTAGCCTCACCCTAAGTGTGACAAATACCAGGTTGGATTGACCTACATTAAATGCTTCCAGAGTTTGGTGGAAAACAAATGTTTTCAGGATATGATCTTGAGGATGACCTTAACAATATACATGCCTGCTCAATGTCTCAAAGCAATTTCCCAGGGCTGTAATGGAGACTTACATGATATGATACCCCTGAGATGTCAGAGCACCATGTGAATTACAAAACAAAGGGTGACAGTGGCGGTCAAATTTTGACAAAGCATAAATCCCAATTTATATATGATTGCTTAATTATAGGACAAATAAATACAACGAAAGCAGCTTCTTATGATTATCTGAAACAAAAGGAGCAAAATGTCCCACCTTTCTTCACTTCACTGTCCTTCTTCCTCTTCCTCCTGGCTCTTGGTCCAACCCCTTGCCCTTCCTTCCAGCCCATTTTCCTCAGCAGGGACACTCCGATGGGTACACTAGACATCGGAGAATGAGTTGCTTTACAAGTGGCCATACACGCCATATACTCATGTAAACTGTATGCTTTTCTACCTCGTCCTAGAAACTACTGCATAAATAACTCATCTGTATGTTTAGCCACACTACATGGTACGCCGACACAAGAATTAAAGTTTCCTCAACAAGAGTGGGAGAGTAATGGTCACAAACATTTGCTATTCAAATATTTGATTTTGAAACAGAATAAATCCTTTATCACACTATTTTTGTTGTATTAACACTGTATACAAAAGGAAAAAAGTAACTGTGCTTAAAAAATAAAGTTGTGTAAATGCTATGCTAATGAAACTGATTTGTCAAATAGTATATGGTCATTGGTCTGATCAATGTTTTAAGATAACAAATTCATTGACCTGGTAACAGAAGACAGCCATATGCCCTAAAAGAGGGTGGTATAACAATTCAATTAACAAAGATTGGCCCAACTGAGCTAGCATTACCGGGTGGTTCTGGTCCTCTCATAGTTGGCATACCATCTCATCCCAGACATGATCTATGGGGGAGCATCAATGTCATGCTGACTCATAATGTATGTAATAACACATGCAACGTGATGTTATGTCCCTGCCTGTATAAAGGGGAACATTCATAGCGTACGTTTTTGACATTGCCATCATTAATGATAGGTTGTGTTCTCCCATGAATCATGATGTTACCCCATACCATTACACTTCCACCCCAAAACTGATGACTTAAAACTACAGTCACCTGTCTCATACTGTGGAACAAACTGATACACAGAAACTAGTCACCTCTCTCATACTGTGGAACAAACTGATACACAGAAACTAGTCACCTGTCTCATACTGTGGAACAAACTGATACACAGAAACTACAGTCACCTCTCTCATACTGTGGAACAAACTGATACACAGAAACTACAGTCACCTGTCTCATACTGTGGAACAAACTGATACACAGAAACTACAGTCACCTGTCTCATACTGTGGAACAAATTGATACACAGAAACTAGTCACCTGTCTCATACTGTGGAACAAACTGATACACAGAAACTAAAGTCACCTCTCTCATACTGTGGAACAAACTGAAACACAGAAACTACAGTCACCTGTCTCATACTGTGGATCAAGCTGATACACAGAAACTAGTCAACTCTCTCATACTGTGGAACAAACTGATACACAGAAACTACAGTCACCTCTCTCATACTGTGGAACAAACTGATACACAGAAACTACAGTCACCTGTCTCATACTGTGGAACAAACTGATACACAGAAACTACAGTCACCTGTCTCATACTCTGGAACAAATTGATACACAGAAACTAGTCACCTGTCTCATACTGTGGAACAAACTGATACACAGAAACTACAGTCACCTGTCTCATAGTGTGGAACAAACTGATACACAGAAACTACGGTCACCTGTCTCATACTGTGGAACAAACTGATACACAGAAACTAAGAAACTACAGTCACCTCTCTCATACTGTGGAACAAACTGATACACAGAAACTACAGTCACCCAGTGTTGGCTAAAGAGCGTGTTTTTGCGTCTTGGATGCACAAAAATGAGTTTGAACGCACCTGCGTCACATGTATGGGTCTCGTGGACGCAGTGACTGGACCATAATTAATTCATATCAAATGGCCACCGTTATTGTAAATCAATGCCGTACGTCTTTGCGTAAAGGTATTTGTTGCCAAATAAGACCGCGAAGCATGTTGATTAACACTTCCATATGCTAAATCAAACCAGTTTCATTATTCTCTCCCTTCTTATGACAAATACCCAAACCGGTTTCTTGAACTTTATCTATTTTCAATTATGCATGTATTAATGTTCACTATGGTCTGTAGGTTTGCTTCAGGTGCCGCATATTAAGCTGCTCGGATACATTCGTAATTCTTTTAGCTTGGTGATTGGTCGAAAACATCATGACCTCCTGTCAAGCTAAAATACAGCAAGGCACATCAAGGGTATACTACAGAATGTGGTTACAGTGACCCGCGAGATCAGGTGACCGTGTAGGATGGTACGCTATATTATCGCGGTAGTTAATTTATAATGGATCGTCATTGGGCACGCTTACAAACTTATTAAATATGTGATACGCAAAATGTTTGTTTTTCTTTGTACAACTTTTATGACACATAAATTAGGATTGATCGATGCTGATTTCCTTTACCAAGTTCAGTAGACAAAGTACCTGTCATTAGTGAATCTTACCACAGTAAGGCTGTGTGGATTATGTGGTTTACATCACTTCCTGTTTTAATCAGTATGCATATGATTGAGGTTGGGTCAAGGGACTTCGTCTGAACAAATGGGTTCTTTTCTAATCAATTTCGAATTGAGGTAGGGGTAATTCCACTTCAAAAACATTCCAGAAACTATGATAAAAAAGTTAATGTGTGTATACTTGCAAGTAGCCGCGACATACTGCAACAAGTCCTGTATTCGATTATACGATGAAGTATCTCGTGTTTAGATTTGCATAAGTAAACAGTCGACAGTGTGCGTGGATTACAAGATTTATCAATACTGCGATACTGTATATGATGAAGAATAAATGCGAACACCTGAATGTAAGCATTGTTTTTATTTCGCGGACTCTGAATATTTAGTTATTCTACAACACACACTTATCCAGCTGTTAATAATTCATTCTTTGGTGAGTTACCTTAAGAATTGCAAAACACATTTTGCTAGAACAGTTATCAGTGTAACTGACCTGTTTAAACATTTAAAGCACCTGAAACATGTTGACTAGATTTATCAAGGAAATGCTAGATCCTGAACACACTCTTACTAAAAAACGTTTGATATGCCAATTATGTCAGGACTCATTGATGTAACAGTTACGACAAGAACTCACTACTCAGTACAGTAGCATCAGAATAGCTATTGAACTTGACTGAATCCACAAACTTCAAATCATTGGTAGATTCAGATAAAAACAATCACAATTGTCTGTCCCAATGACCCCTTACCAATGGCTAATAACCCATGTACTGCCTTTTCATTTACAAAGTTAGAAATTAACATGGATAATTTTGTGTTAAAATATTCATTGATATCAAATATCCATTTTAAGAAATTGTTTGTCCCTTAACGTTACACAGAAACTACACTCACCTCTCTCATACTGTGGAGCAAACTGATACACAGAAGCTACAGTCACTTGTCTCATACTGTGGATCAAGCTGATACACAGAAGCAACAGTCACCTGTCTCATATTGTGGAACAAACTGATACACAGGAACTACTGTCACCTGTCTCATACTGTGAAACAAACTGATACAGAAGAAACTACAGTCACCTGTCTCATACTGTGGATTGAGCTGATACACAGGAACTACAGTCACCTGTCTCATACTGTGGAAGAAACTGATACACAGAAACTACAGTTACCTCTCTCATACTGTGGAACAAACTGATACACAGAAACTACAGTCACCTGTCTCCTACTGTGGAACAAACTGAAACACAGAAACTAGTCACCTGTCTCATAGTGTGGAACAAACTGATACACAGAAACACAGAAACTACAGTCACCTGTCTCATACTGTGGAACAAACTGATACACAGAAACTACAGTCACCTGTCTCATACTGTGGAACAAACTGATACACAGAAACTACAGTCACCTGTCTAATACTGTGGAACAAACTGATACACAGAAACTACAGTCACCTCTCTCATACTGTGGAACAAACTGATACACAGAAACTACAGTCACATGTCTCATACTGTGGAACAAACTGATACACAGAAACTACAGTCACCTCTCTCATACTGTGGAACAAACTGATACACAGAAACTAAGAAACTACAGTCACCTGTCTCATACTGTGGATCAAGCTGATACACAGAAACTTGTAGAATTTTCCTATTCGGAATATTCTATAAGTAATACGTTACCACTGTCATACCGAGGCTGTTGTCTCCCACAACTGCTGCCATAGCGAAATCTACCACAGAGATCTCAATTACCTCATGCAGCACGTGTGTAGCCACCCAGCTGCCATGTGACACCCTTCACTCTTGTCTCTTGCGAGAGCAAGTGCTCGGGGGACGGACGGGCGGGCAGCAGCCCAGTGGTAACATATTACTTATAGAATATTCTGAATAGGAAAATTCTACAAATTACATTAAGTAATACGTTACCACTGTTATACCGAGGCTGACTACCACAGTAGGCGGTGGGGAGCACCTACAACCCGAAATCTGACTGCTCGTGTTTCTTCCGACCAGCGGAAGTATACAACAAGGCGGAAGCACTCGATGCACATGCTCCTAGCTAGGCGTTACCCTATAGGAATACCAAAGCACTGTCAAGCGCATACCGTAAGGTTCAATCGTCATTGCCAAACGATTGGTGACTCCAAACGGCCCCACTGTATAGGTATTTCATTGCCGCAGCGGATAAGAACACAGTATCCGTGTGAGCTAAATCTTAGATCAGGTTAAACAGTCGAAAAGAGGGAAATTAATTTCATTCAGACCGTATATCCCCGAGCAAGCCTACTTAAAGTATGCATTAGGCGCGTGACCTAATTCCAGTATTCGTAAGCATGTATCACAAGGTTGGAATACACGACAGACAATTAAATACATAATTGTCAAAATACAAATAAGGACAAAACACACAAAAAGCCGCCTCACCTGTGGTGTGAGTGCGCTGGTTTGCGGGACCCCCACTCCTGTACCCACGGCGGTGGGAACATTGGAGACTACCCAGATTGACCACCGTGCAAGGTCTGATGCCTGTTGAGTTCTGAACTGCGCTGGACACACCCCTCAGATGACCGCTTGTGCCGCGATCAGCAGCCCAAGACAGTGCACCCCCTCCACGTCTTCATCAGAAACCTTTCTGAGGTAATGATTGGCAAAAACCGAGTCAGAACACCAGTAACAATCTCGTAATATTCTGTGAACAGAGATATTTGAGTGTAGGGCAAATGTTGCCGCTAGCGCCCTGATCTCGTG